AGTCTCATCTGCCTCAGAATCTTCAAGGTGTGTTTTGGCAAAGCTCAGTCGTGACTGCATGTGGCCTTTCTTGTGGAGTGGCTTTTTTCTTGCAACCCTTCCATACAAGCCACATTTGTGGAGAATTTGCTGTCACATGCACACAATGACCACTCTTTGTCATAAATTCCTGCAACTGCATCAGAGTTGCTGTAGGCCTCTTGGTCGCCTCTCTGACCAGTTTCCTCCTGACTCTTTCATCTAGTTTGGAGCGACGTCCTGATCCAGAGAGGGTCTGTGTTGTAGCAAATACCTTCCACTTCTTAATAATAGACTTCACTATGTTTCTAGGGATTGATAAAGCCTTTGGATTTTTTTTTGTATCCATCTCCTGACTTGTGCCTGTCCACAACTTTATCCCAGAGATCTTTTGACAGTGCCTTGCCTCCCGTAGTTGATTGTTTGCTTCAGTTGCACTACCAAGGACTGAAATGCTAGTATCGCCCCTAGTCAGACACCGCTACGTCACGTAACAGCAACAAAAGCATGAACAAACACTGAACGATTGTCTTTTTATTAACTAACATTAACACAGATTAATAAATGTATTGTTCCATGTTCGTTTGCATACCGCACGCAAGGTTTATGCACATAGTCTGAAGTGTTCTTCTCCATTTTTAGTGTGGCAGAATTACAGCGCCACATACTGGTCTGGCATGTATACTACATCGTTTTGTGTCGGTTTCGTGTGAACGCAGATATTTCTTGAGACGAGGGAAAAAAAAAAGATTGGACAGGGAAAGCTCTGGCTTCGTGTGGAAGTAACCTCAGTTTTAGGAGGGGCTGATTTTATTTTTTTTTATATGTTGGTGTTATATCTTTCACTTGGATGTTATAAGTTGCACTGAGTAAATACAGCTGAATAAAACAAAAACTGTGTCCGTCTTCATTTCAGGTTGCAAAGCAACAAAATGCGATTATTTTAAAGGGTGGTGATTCTTTTCTATACCCACTGTACATAAATATACGAATAATGATTATTTTAATGGCTTTTTTATGCCATTTAGGTAAATGGGGGTTACACATCCATCATATACATTTCCAAAGTTGAAGATCCTTGATCTAGATTAAAATGTATCCAAGTAGCAGAAAATAAGCGGTTGATGGAGGTAAAAACCACCATGAATGATTTCTTTAGTGTGAATACAGCCAGCCATATGATTTGCTTGTGAGAATCGGCGGAGTGGGGCGAACGCTAGCCCTGGGGCACGAGTGATGAGTTTTTCAGATTCAAGGAGACGCTTTGATAATATTCTCTTTGTGACCATCACAAAACAACGGCTGTTTTTGTTCCCGCTGAATGGAAAGCATTCGGCCTGCATTATTCACAGCAGATCCTGGTCCCATGCTCTCGCCGAAACGCCGCTTTCATATTGCACTATGAAATTTTTATCACTTGAGGAGGAGAGATGAGAGATGTTTAAATTTTTCATTGTCTGCTTAAACTATATTATTGTTGCGTGACAACAGAGAGGGAAAAAGCAGTCTAGATTTACAGCTGCGAAAGACGAGCGAGACGTCTGCAAGCTCACGTGACATCCCTGTCGCAGAAACACTTCCTGTGTGTCAGAGGCATTGAAACAGTAAAACAAACACAAAATAAAGAGTTTCCAATTAACTAAATGGCCACAATGAGTGTGTTTATATGTACAAAAAAACTCTATTATAAGTCTCAAAAATGCAAGAAAAAAAGACTGCAATTTTGAAATTCTCATGAAATTGCCTTATGTTTTATTCAATAACCATACTTGTTATTTTTTACATGAACTGTTGTCAGTTTATTAAGCTGAATCAGTGCATGTAAACACTCAATGTTATCTGAATTAAATGTGAAAATGAAAAAATGAAGCAAAAAAGAGAGAAGTAAAACAACAAGCAAACGGGAACATATTCTCCTCCTTTAAAGGCAGCCCTTCCCTGCCTAACTGGAGGCATGTTACTAACGCCTGTTTAACTCCTGTTCTAGCTCACCATGAGATAAACACACTTCATTCAGCTTGGCCAAACCCCAACCATTAAGCAGCAGTGGTGGCCCATTCATGAGTTGCCCTCCCTGGCCGAGGCCCTCTGATTAATTAGCACATGGGGCAGTGGCTTCTAAAAGAGCACAGACAGAAGAAGAGCTCCGGGGCGGGGACAGCGGGAGGGAGCCGGTTGAGCGGGGGAGACGTACCGCTGACTGCCAGCCAAGAAAGCCCTACAGAGGGAACACATTCCAGTAAAGTGTCTCCCTGCTGTCCAACTCTAGACTGCATCATATTTAATATCCTGTATTAAACCATCATCTACAGCCAGCAGGATTAGTTCGACTGTAATGTTTAAACTATGAAAATAACTGTCAGTGCACAATTTTGGCGTGTTTAAGACACAACGTCACTGTCTTTGCCTGGGAGCTATAGCGAATGACACTAATGACACTTAACGTGGTGATATTTATGACAACTATTGACTGTAATATGAAAATAATTATTTGTTTATCAGTATCGGACACATTTTTTAAATAGCAGTTGTGTTTAAGAAACCATTTCTGCCTGGGAGCTACAGCGAAGGTTAAAACCAATGATACTTGAACGTGATATTTATGAAATCTTTTGACAAGCTCAAATTTGTGCATTTATAAATTTAACAAGGACAAACTAGATTGGTTTAAATCTAGTTCCTCCTTCTTTAATTTATAATAATAAATAAATCTCACATGGGACAAACAATTCACCCCAGGGTTATTATAAAATAAAAATAAAGTAAAAATAAATAAAATAAATATTAATTTAAAAAGTCAATTTAAAAGATCTCATACCTGAAGTAAAATAAAGAAAACAGAAAACTAAATAAAACTGAAGTTAACTAAACTGTTTTATATTTAATATATAAATAATTCAACATTTTTGTACGTGAGCACCTGATGGCACACAAAACTATACAAAAAACAAATAGAAATATGTCCGTAGAATAAAAACTAAACTATTGCTGAAACAAAAAGCTGAAATGTAAAAAAAAAAAAAAAATTAAAATATTAAAAAAATAATAACTACTTTGATCACAAAGCTAAACATAATAATGAACAATATAAATAATAATAATGCAAAACAATAATAAACTTGGTTCGCCACTGCTCTCAGAAAAAACAAGCCCCCTACTGGAGATACAGCGTGACGAACCCAACCAAGATAGCTAATGAGAGACTGAGTGCTTTCTAATGTAAAGCCTGGCAGCTTCTCCCTCATGACAGGCCTTATGTTCTCCCTCGTCTCGCTACCTTTCCCCAAACGTCGGTCCTCTGTTCCCACACATCTTCATCTTCCCGAAATAACCCCCATTTACTCACATAACAGCTTCCAGAACATTTTCGCATCGGTACAGAGCAGTCCCAAAAGACACACTTAACCGCCCAAACTCTCTCTCGCACCTCCTCTATCCTCCTCCTGATCTACCGCTCTTCCTCAGAGGCTGACGGCAGGCTCAAAGCTCCCGGGGACTGTCAGACTATTTCATTATTCAAACAATGCTGGAAAGTGGAGCCAATGATCACTTTAGTGGTGCTGATTTGTCATGGTGCCTAGACGAGGGAGGGAGACTTCACAGCACACAGGAAAATTCAACAACTTTATCTTGCTCTGCTTCTCGCAGGGAATTACCATTCAAAACTCCATTAGAACAGAGCAAGAAGTTGGATGCGTAGCATAGTGGTTATTAACATACATGCTCTGACACACTGAGCCTTAAAGTTGGAATCATAACTTAGCTGTTAGCACACATTTCAACAGTTAGAGCTGCATAAAGTTTAAGTAAATAGACAAGCACCAAGGTGGACTCCGCGATGGTTAGTGATAGGCCAAAGTGCAGTAAACTGTAAAACTATGTGCGCTACAAACCAGTCTGTTTATAATTACGGCAATAAAATAATATGGTAACAAATACCAGTTTGCAATATCAAGCAGCATAACAAAACATACTGGGATAGTATGGGCCCTGTAGGATCCATCGCTAGTATCCTTCATGGCCCAGGAAATGAAGGACGTATTTCAAGGCCGCATTTGAAGGAAACTTGGAAATGGGACAGCCCTTGGCGTGCCACTTAGATGCATTCTTCGAGTCTTCAAATGCAGCCTTTGAAGGATGCAGCCTCTGAATTGGGACACAGGTACTGGGTCTTCAAACTTGCAGAAAATGCAAATTCAATTTTGGCTCATCACTCCCTCATTCCAATCCTTTCCAGGCCTACCTCTACAATACCTATCAATATAGTAGCAAAAAAGCCAGAACATATAGAAAATGGAATATGAGGCTATAAACTTCAACAGTCTTCATGTAAGTCAAACAGAAACAAAGCTAATAAGCAAAATGACTATACTCTGTCATTGCTTTGTAACTCAAAAGGGGGCTGACAGGTAAAGAACAGCATAAGAACAAAGAGAATGAGCAGAACTGATATGTGAACAGCAGTAATGAGTCATTTTCAAGCAGTGCTTCACAATGCGGTAATCTGAGAAAACAGAGTCCTTCCTGGGAGACGTCTACTACTATGACATCACGTATGTCCAAACATGGCCATCAACAAGTTAAATCACTTGCATTACACCCAAACAAGTAGAGACAGAGAAGTGCCGTCGAGCAGGGCAACACGGCATATGGCTGAAGATATCTTAGCTCTGGGGGTTCTTAAATGTCCTAAGTTGTTTTTGTAACTAGGCTAGTTACCGACCCTGCAGATTTACGTAGAAATGCAGCATTCGATGTTCTTCGTATCCCTAAGTTCTTGATTGTTTGATTATTAAATGTTTTTACAACTCTTTTTGACAGAACAAAAGAGAAAAGACAAATTATATGGGGGCAGAGAGAGTTTCTTGCATGAGCACCAAGAGGCAACCACTGCTCCAAAGCTCCAACACACAAAACGGTTCTTCAATGTATCTCAAGGGTCTGTTTAAGTGTACAGGGGGCTCTTGGCTTGTACAGTAAACCTGGGGTGGGTTTTTCCCCAGGCTTTTCAGAGCAAAAAGAGGAAGAGATGTCACTTACTGAATTCGAGGGCATTGGTACATTGGTTTCAATGTAAGTCTCCGTCTTGGGCTCCACAGCAAGCTCCGCCTCCAAGATCTTCTCCACAGGCATGTCTTCGTTCACACTGCTGGTTGACTCCACCTCGTTCTCGTTGCGGTCCTTGGCTCGCTGGCGCTCCTCCTGGACGGCTGTATGTAACAACACTAGTCACGGTCACTACAGTTGGTCAGTCAAGAAGTCAACACAAATACACACTGATATTAAGCTGATGCTAACAAACTACACCACAGGTCTTCATACTTTTTGATCCTGAAAAATAATGGACTCTCAAACATGATTATCCCCCTGCAAATATAATGTACTTTCAAGTATAAAAACCTGAGAGAAAGCAGGAAATTATGGAAAAATAAACAATTGGCTTTAGGGCTGCAACAACTAATCGATAAAATAGATAATAATCAATCATGAAAAAAATCGACAATGAATGTCATTATCGATTAGTCGCGTCTGCCCACCGCGCACTGAAAACTTCCGACAGTCACGTCAAATTACAGCAGTGAATAATGCATTTCAATGGATGAAATGCATCTAAAAAATAGGAGATGAAACAGAGTGAGCTGCTACGGGAAAGATGTGTGATCCAAGCTGTCTGAAACATGAGAATGCTTTATTTTAAGTTTCAAGCTAATGGATTAGCATAATGTTTAAAGGGTTAGTTCACCCAAAAATGAAAATTCTGTCATTAATTACTCACCCTTGTGTTGTTCGAAACCCGTAAGACCTTCGTTCATCTTCGGAACACAATTTAAGATATTTTTGATGAAATCTGAGGGCTCTCTGACCCTCCCATAGACAGCAAGGTAACTACCACGTTTAAGGTCATGATACTGTCGTGAACACACGTCCAAAGTGACGCAGTAGAGACGAAAATGTGGAATAAAGCCATTATTTTTGTTTTCTTTGCGCAAAAAATAATTCTCGTAGCTTCTTAACTTTACGGTTGAACCACTGATGTCACACGGACTACTTTGTCGATCATCTTGGTACTTTTCTGGACCTTGAATGTGGTAGTTACCTTGCTGTCTATGGGAGGGTCAGAGAGCCCTCAGATTTCATCAAACATATCTTAAATTGTGTTCCGAAGATGAACGAAGGTCTTACGGGTTTGGAACAACACGAGGGTGAGTAATTAATGACAGAATTTTCATTTTTGGGTGAACTAACCCTTTAACAGATCAGACATTTGATCAGCTCAGAGAAACAGGAAGTGGTTAGTGTTGAATAGTCACTCAATCTCACTGTGGCCAGAGCTGTATTAACCACAATCTAAGCCCCTGTGGTTAGAGTGCGTATGTGCCGAGCACAGTTCATCCAAAAGTCTTCAAACCCAGTTCCTATTCACAGCACATTAAAACACACAAACACTAAACGTTCTCCTTTCCCTAACTCTTCACTATTTTCCACAACAGCGAATCACAGTGGTATCGCGGTGGTGGAGGGGTTCCGAAACGGGGGGGATTCTGCTTTACGGAAAGTGCTGTCTGGAGGTCAGCCCAAGGGTAAAATACTTTGCCAGGAGTCAGAGAAAGGTGAGAAGGGCTGAAATCACGTTAGCTTTATTTCCCCTGGAGAGAAGGAGAGCATAAATTCATTTAATCCTGTTTTTCTGCAGATTCGCTCAGCTCTTTTTGGAACAAGCGTGGCCCAGCTCTCCTGTGCCTCGGGGTACAGTGCGAGCTTATGGGATACAGAAACAGGCGAACGCAAGCAAATGATCATATCCTTGAAAGAAGCCGTGATGATATAAATAAGGGAGACGAAAGGTTGCACTAAGGTCAGACAGTGGGTGTGAGAACGAGACGTCATGTACGTATGATCGCAGTACTCTCTTCGTCTACAGGGGGAGGATATACTCTCTCACATGAAACAAGAGCTATGCAATCTATAGCCACAATAAATAATTTATAAGGCCAAACAAGTCTGACTGCTTGCAAAGACACTGACCTTAGTTCAGCTTAGTGTTGTTTTAAACATCTTTATAAATGTTTAAGCTTAGGGACATATCATGAATGAACTGTATTGTATATGAAAAGAATTTGAAACTGATCATAAGTTGATACATATATTAAGGAAACTGATGGAAAATAAATTTAAACAAAAAACTATACACGCACAAATATACAAGCACCCGTATATATACTTTTTATATATGTTACATAAGCAAGGGATAATAAAGGGATTTTAAATGCACGACGTGGAGGCAAAGAACCACCCGATGCGAAGTGCATTTAAAATCCTTTAATGCACGGCAAGCCGTTGATTATCCCGCTTATTCCATGGTCATTTGCCAAGTTATAGACAAGTTAAAACTAGTATTACTCTTTGCAGCGCAATATTTGACCAAATGGGTAAAAAATTCAGTTACGTCAAAATCAGTTACGGCTCATTAGCTCTAGCATTCTGCTCGCTTCAAATCAGACACAGAGATGAAATAGTGCAGTTAGATCACATTTATTTGAATAAATTATAACACTTATTTGAATTAATTATCGATCGTTTGATCGAGAGAGAGAGAAAGACGACAGTTGTGTTTACCTGCGTCTGTGCGTCTCTCTCTACAAACATTGAAGTTGTGAGTTTAGTTACTTAAACAGAGATTTTACCTCCTCGTTACTGAGGAATATAATGCAGTGATCCAGTATCTAAGCGGTTTTATTAATAAAAGTCGCGGGGTAGCGTTGATAAGTTTATGTTGGCCTACTCCTGAACGTTTCTGTATGCGCAGCGGGATCTCCGATTTCTCTCTCTCTGTGTGAGTGATGTGTGTGCGTTTGTATGTGTCAATTAAAGCAGCGCATTAATATAGAACAGTGATTAAACTGACTTGGAACTACCTGTGCATTAAACGGTTTCAATGAATACCTGCCAGCCAATCAGAATCAAGAATTCCAACAGACCATGGAATAAAAAGAATTTGAAACAGATCCTTATAATTATTATTATTTATATAATTTATAAAAAAATTTTTTGCCTTTGTCATCCATGTCATATCTGGCAACAAATAATTATTATATATATTTTTTTTATTAAATTATTACTAAAGTAATAGTTAATAGTCAATGTGTCTGAATGTGGAATTGTATATAGCAGAGGTTTTAGTGATTTTGGACACACTAAGCTAAAACGACAAACTAACATTTATTTGAATTAATTATCGATCGGTTGTTCGAGAGAGAGAAAGAGAGGAAGATGACAGTTGTGTGTGTGACCTCCTCGTTGCTGAGGAATATAATGCAGTGATCCAGTATCTAAGCGGTTTTATTAATAAAAGTCGCGGGGTAGCGTTGATAAGTTTATGTTGGCCTACTCCTGAACGTTTCTGTATGCGCAGTGGGATCTCCGATTTCTCTCTCTCTGTGTGAGTGATGTGTGTGCGTTTGTATGTGTCAATTAAAGCAGCGCATTAATATAGAACAGTGATTAAACTGACTTGGAACTACCTGTGCATTAAACGGTTTCAATGAATACCTGCCAGCCAATCAGAATCAAGAATTCCAACAGACCATGGAATAAAAAGAATTTGAAACAGATCCTTATAATTATTATTATTTATATAATTTATACATTTTTTTTTTGCCTTTGTCATCCATGTCATATCTGGCAACAAATAATTATTATATATATATTTTTTATTAAATTATTACTAAAGTAATAGTTAATAGTCAATGTGTCTGAATGTGGAATTGTACATAACAGAAGTTTTAGTGGTTTTGGACACACTAAGCTAAAACGACAAACAAAAAGCACACGTAAACAACAATCATGTGCGTATGTATGTCTGTATGTGAGCAGGTATACAATGCAAGCTACAAAAGAGTTCATCGGTTCAATCTTAAAAACAGAAAACACATCTCCGCTCTAATATCTCATAAATCTAAAATTATTCTGTCTGACTGAGGGGCAAAATATAGTCTCTCAGATCAATATTCCAACTGCTGTGTGCTAAAATCTTCTATTAGCATGCTTAAGCACTTTCACGTCTCCTTTTTTTGGGGACAAGCGCACAAAAAGTGCTAATGCCCCCTTTTCTTCAGCGTGATAACCCACCCCTCACCTCTTCCTCTCTTTCATCTCGCTCTGCCTCAGGTGATGATTTGGGAGAAAAGATGGTCTTCTATATTTAGCGACAAAAAGCATATCTGAAAGAAAAAAAACATACCACCTTGCATTGACGAACCATTTCCTGTTTTCTCTCAGTATCTCCTGAGTACACTACCTGGAATCTTGAGTACAGCCATCATGTGCAGAATGAACTCCCTGACCAATGTCTTACCGTGAGCAGATTGGCAGACTGAACGTCTAGTGAACGCTAATTAAGCACTGACCAGCAGTCTGACTATTTAAAGGCTGATTGAGAGTCACACAGAGGTGAGATTGTTTCTAATAGCGAATGCACAAAGCATCTCACCCCATGCTGGAAAGCTCAGGCCAGTCAGTGCAAAGAACAATAGACTCCTTCAACCAAGTCCTTATGTTCTTCAGCTAACACAAATGGATGCTAAATGGATACTAAATTTACGTAGCATTGGAAGTCACTGATTTTAATGAGAGCTGGTGGAGTGATTAGTGCTATACAATTTCAGAGGGAAAAAGAAAAATCTTCTATCCTCAACTTTATGTGCTGTACCTTCTCTCTTCATTCCCATGGCCAAACACTTCTGATAGCGGCAGTACTGGCAGCGGTTGCGCTGGCGTTTGTCGATAATACAGTCCTTGCTGTCTCGACAAGTGTAAGTCAGGTCCTTACGCACAGTCCTCTTGAAGAAACCCTTGCACCCCTCGCAGCTGTACACACCGTAGTGTTTACCTGTTGGAAAAAAATGCAAACATAGAAGCCTAAGGAGTTATGTTCAGGTCTACAATGGTAATAATTCATGGATCAGTGCTTGTGGCATTTGAATCTACAACCTTTCAGCTGAAATGTGTTAAAATACCTTCTTCTATCCAAGCTTAATATTGCAAGATCTTCTGAAGCAAATCTTCTTGTAGTGTAAACACTGTCTCTGTGCTGTTTACAAAACACTGCACTGTTTCCCTGCTGAAAAATAAACCTGTTTAAACCAGCTTAAGCTGGTCTTAGCTAATTTTCCAGTCTGACTGAGCTTGTTTAGCTAACCGACCAGTTAAAAGGTGCCCAAAATCCCTCTAAAACCACCCAAAAGAGCATCTTAACTGGACTAGAAAATTAGCTAAGACCAGAAAACCACCTTAGACTGTTTTTAAGCTCTTATTTTCGTCCCAACCAGCCCTGCATTGTAACATTAGCACAACAGTTTGCATTTGGGGCTGGATTTTGTGTTTGCACATATATACTAGCCAAAGCTGGTCTTAGCAGGTTTACGATGGTTTAAGCCTGATTTAGCTTGCTAAAAAAGTGGCCAAAACCCTTCTAAAACCACTCAAATGATAATTTTGACCAGGCTAAAAGACCAGCTAAGACCAGAAAACCAGCATAGACTGATATTTGAGCTGTTTTTCATTCCAACCAGCCCTGCAGTGCAACACTGGCCTAATATAGACCGTTTGGAGCTGAACTGTCTGTTTGCACGTATAAACCAGCTTAAGCTGGTCTTAGCCAGTTTTTCAGCAGGTCTCCCAGACTGATTTGGCTTGTTTAGCTGGGCAACCACCTGAGAAATGCCCAAAACCCCTTATAAAAGACCTGACTGGGCTAGAAGACTGACCAGCCTTGAGCAAGCAAAAGTTGCAAAATGTTGTACATTTGGGGCTGGACTACTGGTGTACATATCACAATGTGTTTTGGTACCTGAGGAGCGGTCGCCGCAGATGGCACAGATGTGTTTGGAGAGGGAGAGGGGGGTGCCCAAGGGCTGGACTGGCACCTTCATCACACCGTTGATGCCCAGGGGCGGCTTGATATCTTCTGAGCTGCTGACAGAGTTCATGGGCGAGTTCAGCTGCAAAACATAAGCAAACACACATCATTTAGACACGTCAACATATCGTCTCTAAGGGCCTGGGTGAAAGAAAGCGGAGTTCCAGAAGGCCCTGACTTTTCTGTCAGTTTCTTCAGAATGGGGCCAGACTCACCCAACAGGCCAGCGTTGAGATTTCAGATTGATTTTGTGCCGCGAGACCGAGGTTCTCTCATTTGATTATGCACTCTCTCCTACTTCCTCTGAATGTGAGTACAAGAAACGGATGCTGAGTGCGTGTCCCTAGCCTCATTTTTTTCATATCCAGCAGCAGCAGTGCACATGTACTATGCTAGAATGACGGCAATAAAATATTTAGTTGGACAGTGGAATAAAGATGTGGTTCTGTTTCTCTCTCTCTCTCTCTCCAAGCTAAAATGTGTCTGGCTGCCCTCATCCAGACATTCTTTTGCTCTCAAGTGTATTTTGAATGAGAAACATTAAAACTTACATTTCTGTGGAAATGACAGCTAAAAAAAATCTAAATTCATCACAAATGTTTATTAATCAATGTGTTTGTGCACATTTTACTGTATCATTCCAAGGTGATGAAGCAACAATTGTGCAAGAAGCAATCACAATAACAGGCACATTATTAATTTCACTCTACACGTGTTCATATTCAATTACACACTTTAATTATATCAGCGACACAAGGGTTTTGAGCAAATGAAAGTTGCTGATGGGTAGACACTGTGCCTAAGGGTCCAACAGGCTGTTCTAAAAAAAAGAAGAAAAAAAAAACCCAACAACCTAACAGACGCTATCCTGCCTTTGGGGAGTGAGAAAGTCAGTGAAAAGTCTTGTGACAAGAAGCATGGTCACTCTGCATTGGTAACAGTGATGTTTGCATGCATTTTACTTTTTTTCTATTTTATTTATATTATAGTAGATGGTTTATCAGCAACAGATTTGTTGGAAGGCTCTTAAAAGCATGACACGGACTTGGTAAAGGCCTTGGGACTGGCGTTCTTGGCCAGGAGACAGAAACACTCATGTGAGAGCCTCCAAAGTCTTGTTCTCATGCTTTAGCCAGAATACAGTTAGCAGTCAAACTAGCGAGAGGGGCCTGATAAAGACCCCATTTAGACCAAAAGGAGCATCGTCACTTCCCACTTCACACCACGGCTATGTGTTGACGTGAGTGCAAGAGACATGCAGACTTGCTAGACTTCTGTGGAGTGCCATGTAGCCAGAGGACACTGGACACAGACAGACCACTCTAGCCCCACTGAACTGCCACCACAAAGGAATTTCCATCACCTAAAAACATATATTGTGTTTAAGAGCTTTCTGCAATGGAAATTACGTTTTCAACGTCTCGTAAATAACATGGAAGACTCCTTTGTCTAACTAATGCCAATTTCTCAGCTAGTAATTTGCTTATCTTAAATACACACAAATAAATATTTTTTTTCCCAAATACACATGAAGTTTCAAATTTCATCTTAAGCTTTCACCTAGGAAAAAGTATGATAATCTTTAAAGTAAACTTTATTTCATTTTATTAGTTTATTAGTAAAGTTTTAATTTAGTTTATTACTGCCCAACTGAGGGGTTTGTGTCAAATTTTTACACGCACACACAAAATACAGAAATAGTTTATGATTTCACTTTTGTTTAGGTTATCATATCACATTAAAAAATTATGATTGACTTTCATGTTTTAAGGTAAAAATATATTAAAATCAACATTAAAGACTTTTTAAAAATACCAGAATTAATGATGAAGTTGGCATGATAAAGTTAGTTTTTTTTTAATTATTATTATTAGGGGTGGGAATCGTTAGTTACCTCACGATCCGATCCGATTCCAGAAAGACTCTTGATCTACTTTTCCCCCCCTTATTAATTAATTAGTTTACCCGACTTGAGAATCTTAAAATCCTTACATTTACATATCCTTACATACGTAATTAAGTACTTTTTTAAATAATTACAAATTGAAAAAAAATAATTAAAACAGTTGTATGTTAAGAATGTATAACTTAGAAATATAACTTCAAAACATACAAGCAAGTAGCAAATAATAAAGAGGAACATAGAAACATATTACAAACAACAAACAAAGAGTGCATTTGTAAGGAAAATACCGACGGGCGAGACTGCACACTTCAAGTGTAACATCAAACAAAGTGCGCGTCTCTCACAGCGAATCCTGTGCAATGAAGCCCGCGAATGTCCTTGTAATTCGCTTCAACCTTTCCGAACTTTATGAAAGATTATTTTACGGAAGGTTCAAGTGGTGTATGTGTGTGAGGAATTGGAAGCAAGCAGAATATGGGTGTTTCTAAAGCAAACTCAGCGTCATCACGCATCTGGTTAAAAACTAAGCTCAGAATCGATCCAGAATCGTTGGAGAGAAAACCGCGATGCATCGATGGATCGATTTTTTCTCCCACCCCTAATTATAATTACTGGGCCTTTTTATACCTTTATTTAGACAGGATAGTAGAGAGCAGACAGGAAAGCATTGGGTGAAGGAAGGGGAGCAGGACCAGCAAAGGAATTTGAGATGGGAATTAAACTTGGGTCGCGTGAGTGCAGGTGCGCTGTATGTCGGAACACTAACCACGAGGTTATTGGCGCCGACAATAAAGTTAGTTTTAATGTGACCTTCATATAATAAAAAATTGGTTGGTAAGTTGGTATTTTAACACCATGCCAGCTTCCAAGTTGAAAAAGTATAAACAAGCAATTTAAAATTAATTCAGGTTTGACTGTTAAAAATTTATTCAAAAGTGTTTGCTGAGTAATATAATTTCCTAAGAGATCTTAAGCACAATTTAATAAGTAAGGGACAATGTACATCCAGTCGGTTGTTATAGTAGAATAACCCCCTACAGGGTGACCAGGGCCCCAAGGTGAAGCAGAAAGATTTTAAGATGAAACTGTTTTAAAATCTTACCAGTTTGTTAGTTATCTTATAATCCATCCATCTGTTCCTTAGCAAGTGTGTAGTGCTGACTTCAGTTACCCGGATGAGCCTGTGTTATCAGCTTTTATCGGTTTTTATCGAGGAATAACATAACTTGGAATGTCGCGACTGACCAATCAGAATCAAGTATTCCACAGAGCAGTGTAATAAAATACATTTAAAGGATACTGAACTCTGGCATTAACAGCATATCAGTGGATCTTCTTTTGATATTAAGAATTTGTGTGTGATTCTGGAGTGTCCTTTTCAGCATTGTGTAAATATGATTTGATCCCACTGATTACTGAAAATAAAGATGTGACTTTTACCTACATTAGGGTATTTCATACAGTTTGTGGTTCGTACACTGATCCCATTCATTTTGCCTTTTGTTGATGACGTAAGATACTATGGTAATTTTCATATCAAATCAAAATCTAGTAAGTTTTTCAGTCAATTTTAAAGTGATCGGAGTTATCTACGTAGAAATAGAAGTGTCCAGATTTAAGAAAGACTTAACATAGTTAATCACCCTTATCCATGTACATGATTGCATCATCCTAAGAACATGTGCGTGTGTTCACACATGCCTGCACACACCCCTTAAACTCATGCATGGACACACACAGTAATGCCACGGCCCATGTCATTACACAGATGACCACAACATGCCCTGAATAAAGAGACTGACTGCTGAAACAAACAGATCAACTGCTCAAAAATGACAATCCAAAGAAACAAAAACACTCAAAGCTTATGAATCTTTGTCAAGAACATGATTAACACTTCTGAAAACTGCTCCTCTTTCATTCAGTATGATGATTAATTCCATCCATCAAAAAACTAACAGGCAAAACGCTGCGGACAAAAGCCCATGTACTTCCACTCTGCTTGATTTATGATGTCAGAAATGGTCATTGTCCTTGAAAAATGCTGAAGGCAGTCAAGGCTGCAGGGGCCGTAACAGTGCAGCATGTTCTGATGGAGAGAGGTGTTAATAATGAGTGAGCAAAGAGAAAGCATGGGCGGCAGTAAATTACACATGCCATACTTTATTCTGAGGCTGTCAGTTTATGAAAAATAAAACGCCTTTTGTTATGAATTTCTGCCTGCGTGTCTCCGATGAGAACCTTACACATGCTCATGTTACCCACATACAAATACTCATGGGGAGAATTCACTAAGAATGAATAGAGCCCGCTGATAGAGCCATTTATTTGTACCCGCCGTCTGCATTAAGGGCCCGATTCACTAAAGGAATTATGCAAATCAGGTAACGGTGCAAATGTGCCCATAAAATCTTTGCAAAAGTAAAGCTGCATGGCACGATTCCCCATTTGTAGGTTCAGGTTTTAGAACAAACAAATATACTAGTGTACTTTACTTGGACTATACAGTATCACGCCACATTTCAAGAAAAAAATAAGACAAATGTTTCTTAAAATAATTGAAATAATTAACATTAAATAAAATGAAATAATCTAACAAAACAAAACAAAACAAATAAAATAAGAAAGTAGACAACAGAGCATGGAGTTAGCAATGTCAAAGTCATGAGTTCGATTCTCAGGGAATGCATGAACTGATAAAAGTTTTATTAAAAATAACTAGTAAATAGTTAATATAGTAACTATTCATAACTAGTATATAAATAGAGTTTAGCATTTAGAGTTTTGCATAGAAAAAAAAGTGTGTGACAAGTACTGAATTTAATGACCATGACAATGAACCAAAGGTTGTCAGTTAGATGCAGGTTTAAGTTGAAATACTGCATGCAAAAGTGGTGCAACTGTATGAATTCCTCCATCATTTTCTCACACTTAACTCATGCACACAAATGCACATGATGTGTTAGTTCACATGCAAAAGCAGCTGTTAAAATGAGCCTCTCTCTTCATTTCATACCTTTGTTTGTCTATTTTGCTGGACCTCTGTAGTATGTCTCATCAGATGCAGAGCTGCACTATCAGAGGACTCTATCAGAGTATGGCTATTTTCAACATGCAACTCAATCTGCCCAAACTCCCTCTCAATGCTGTATTTGTGTGTAGGGGTATGTGTGTGT